ATGCATAAACATTTTAAGAAAGGACAACTGTATTAAAATTGTAATACTCAATGTATACCAATAACAAGATGAATACAAGTCACNTACAGTTATTAAAGTACTAAAAAGCAAACAAGCTTGTGACATAGAACACATACACAGAGACACGTACAAACACATTCCCATTGCTGGGTTCAGGTTTTTAATAGTTTAGAGTTTTGGTGCCTAAGTCAGATTGTACTATATAATTTTCCTTCTTGGGAGACTTACCTGGTTTTGGAACCAAGGTTATATAATAAGCTTGGTGAGTAAGTTGGGTTGTATTTTATCTTTTTCTAGTCTCAAGTTTTGTATAAGATTAGAATTACCAATTGCTTGAATATATGCTGGGATTTGTTTCTTTAAACAGTCTTGTTTTGTAGGGATAGTAACTATTGATCCTCGTTGAAGCGTTATAGATCTTTTCAGGTTTTCTCTGTCTTCTTGAGTCTGGTTTGGTAGAATCAGGTGAACTTCTGCAAGACTTCAAGAAAATCAAGGCACAAATCAACACTATTAGGAATTTTAAAAGGGACATAAATATAGATCCAGTGAAAATACTTTTTGAAAAGAGTCTTGGAACAACTTTATGTGATAAGTTTGATTTTTGAAAAGTTAATGAAATGGACAGTCTTTTTAGGGAAATAAGATATGATTTGAGGTTTTTTTTGAGCTTCACGGACCTGTGGAATTGTGTCTGCCATGAAATTTGGATAATTCTTGGTCATTATTTCTTCAAAAATTTCTGTTTCATACTGTCTTCTTTTGGGATTTCATTTCAACATATGTTAGCTTTTTTGATATCCAGCAAACTATTAGATGCTCTGTTCTTCCCTTCCCCCCATTATTTTTTCTCTTTGTGTTTCAGTTTCTATCGACTGAAATATTTCTGTTGACCTATCATTAAGTTCACTGATTCTTTCCTCAACTTTGTGAGTTGTCTGATGAGCCATTAATGGCATTCTTCACATCTATATGTGTATCATTTCTAGCACTTCTGTTTGATTCTTACAGTTTTCATTCCTCTGTTGATAGTATTACCTATCTGATCTTACATGTTTTTCATCTCTCCCTTAGAGCATTTATCATATTAATCATAGTTATTTTAAATTCCCTGTGAGATAATTTCAATGTCTC